AATAATTTCCTGTGTGTTACTCATATGAGCATGAAGGGAAAGTAAGGTGTGTGATTTTATGACCTGGGAGTGTTTTTAAGGGGTCCTGAAGAAATGAGTCACCATTAACATTTGCCTGTCTTTGAGAAGTGTCTGCTCTCAGTCTGGCAAGAACCACAGAGCAGATGCCTCGGGGTTGGAGGGGCAGGCGAGGGGCATAAACCACACCATAGTTAAATATTTGACTAAGATTATAGGAGCTCTTAGACACGCATGACTTGTAACAAAGGCACTGCAGGAGCCTGCATCACCTGGCTTCTTCTGAGTGCTACGGAGACCCCAGCACCTCTCAGCAGATGGATGCCCACCTTCTAGAAGGAAGTGACCTCAACAGGCAGAAAAATAAGGAAGACTTGGTCCAGGTCCCCTTTGCAGCCCAGCTCCATGGCATCCCCATCTGCAAGGACTTCCTGACAGCAGCTGCTGCAGACAAATCCATTTTACTGCTCTTTACCTGGGAACCACTCCACGTCTGATTAATGCTTGGAGGACAGGTTTGCTTGCCTGCTTGGTTTGTTGTGCTTGCCTCAGGTTAAACCTCCTGCTGGAGGACGGGGGTGAGATCCGGATGCAAGTGATGACACAAAGATGTGGCAAAGGAAGCAGACAGGGAGGGACCTCATGGGGCTGTGACTAACCACTGGTTCAGGGCATGATGCCAGGGAAAGGATGACAGGCTGATTGTCCAAAGAAGGGCAACGAGGCTGGTGAGAGGGCTGGAAAACACCTTGTGAGGACCAGCTGAGGGAACTGGGGTTGTTTAGGCTGGAGGAGATTGAGAGGTGACCTTATTGCTCTCTACAGCTACCTTAAAGGAGGTTGTAGAGAGGCTGGTGTTGATCTAGTGGTTAGAGAAATGTTGGGAGGAAGGTTGGCCTTGATGATCCTCGAGGTCCTTTCCAACCATGGTGATTCTATGATTCTATGAGTCCCTCCCAAAAGCCATTCCTATTGCATCTAGGGTAGCTTTGGGGAAGAGAATTATAATGAGGGGATGTTGTTTCTTTGGGAAAGTTCTTGTCTACAGTCCTACACAGCACTGTCTTTTATTTAAATGGTGCTGGTCAAGGTAAATCCTTAAGGGCAGGAGCACTGGGAAAGGAAGAAGGGAAAATAATGCCAAGACCAGCTAGGCCAGGGAAGTATCTGCATTTTTCTTGTCTGTGCTAGGCTTTTACAGGGGGGAAGGTATGGAAATGTGACACAAAGAACCTTCAACTGCAGGAAGTAGAATAAAGTTAACATTTCCCACTGAAGTCCCCACAGGCAACCTGAGGTGTTCTTCACAGCACCTGTGGGTGGAACACCATCGGCCATGGGGTTCTCCATGGCCTCTCCTCCATCACTTCCTACAGTGATTCCATCCCCAGGGAGGCAACCTGAGGTGCTCTTTACAGCACCTGTGGGTGGAACACCATTGGCCATGGGGTTCCCCATGGCCTCTCCTCCACCACTTCCTACAGTGATTCCATCCCCAGGAACCTTCTGACTTCCAGCACCTTCAGGCCAGCTGCTAGTGCCTCCCACGAAAGGCTGATCTCCCCTGTGTGTTTAGATGGTGATTTCCCTATTTTCTGAGCTGATACTATAGGGTGCAGTTTTGGGTAACCAGATAGATATTAAATAAGGAAATGTTTCCCCCTGTTTCTTGGCATTCTTCCTTCTCACTGCCTTTTCATTGCCTTATGAAAGATGAGACTATCAGGGAAGAAGATTAAGGCTGATTACCAGTCATCTGACTGCAGAATACTCCTCTCTGAGTGCTGGTGTGAAGGCAGCAAGTATTGCTCAGGTGAGAGGTGGGGACTGTGTAAGCTGGAAATTCCTGGCTGCTTCCGTAAGTCTTCAGGAGTTTGGAGAATTTCCAAATTCTTCATTTGGATGAGGAAATCGGATGATGGACATCAGGATGCTGGGTGTACTGGGGTTGCTCACTCAGGGCTCTGGATTCTTTAAATCTCCAGCCCTAGTTACATTTTCTGATCCTTAAAACTTTTTTTCTGTTCCTGCTCACAGGAGGGTGCAGAACCTCTTTACTTTGTGGTGCTGACATAGTATTGACACACTCATCCCTGCTGCCTTCCCTGGTTTAATTTGGGTTAACTATCATGTTTGCAACCACAGGGAAAGCAGTTGTTTTCTAAAACAGGTAGAGAGTGGCTTACTGGCTGTCTTGAAGGAAAACATTCCTCTCTAGGCTGGGACTCCAGGGAAAAGGCCCGATCTCATTCTCTGGAAAGATGAACTGGGGCTCTGCTGAATTATTGAGCACACACTGCAGTCGTCAGGTTGAAGAGAAAGAAGCAGCAGCTTGGGTCACGGGTGTGGGATGGAGATGATGAGCTTCAGGAAGAGAGGAGGGTAACCAGATCTGCCTCCCACACTTGGTTGCTGTGCTGCCCGGCTCAGCCTCACGGCTGCTTGGCACTAGGATGTGGATGCTCAGCTCTGTTTGGTGGCTCTCTCTGAGGCCACAGACAGTTACCAAAGCCCAACTCCACAGCACTGAACCTTTGTCTCCTTTCCAGAGGCAAATCCTCACTCCTAAGGGAGGCCAGGAAGAGCAGCAGCAACCCCAGGTCCCACACATGGTAACCGAGGTGCAGTGTTTCAGTCTAACACTCAAATGTGTTGGCCACGTTCAAACCAACTTCATTCACCCACAAAAATGATATGCAGATTTGCAGAGGACATGATCACAGATGGTCATCAGCTGCTGCAGGAGGTGCTTCATAAATTCAGCTGTTCTGGCAGAAGATTAACAGGGCAAACCCCACCTTTCATTTTGAGTTGAACCAAACTGCTCAACAAAGAGCACCAGAGGCAGCAGAGGGGATGGAGGAAAGGGGCAACTTCCCTGCCAGCCTTGCAGCCCTGCAGAGTTTTGGATTGACTCAGCAATGCCAGGTAACTGCTCTTGTAAATCTGGTCCTCTTTTTCTGGTCTTAATTCCAGCCTTGGGAGTTCCCTGGGACCAAAGAAAATACAGGTTGTTTTCCCCTGTTAAAAAAACGTCCATCCTGGAGCACCAAAATAGAGCATTTTCATCAGGAGATAGGAACTTGCCTCCTGGCAGAATGTGTCCTTTAGTCCAGAGTAACCTTGTGAAAATCTGCCCTTGTTGGGCCAGCATATTAACCTTTGAAAAGTCAACAGCTGTAAACACATGATAGGATGTTCAATAGTTTTTTCAAGGCTTCAAGAATCTCTGAAGAATCTGCCCTCACTGAGTATGCTCTGAGCCTCTCACAGCACAGATTTTTCTGGGAAATTTTGGTCTAAATAAGACAGTTTTAGGAGTGAGATTAGAAGGAGGACACAACCAAGCAGTGAGGGGAAAATGAGTAAAGCTGCTTGAATTAAATAGCTGACGGCAGCTTTCTGAGTATAAATTTTAAGCTGTCTCAAAAGCAGAGGAGATTGTATCAGTTTCAGATATACTTTAATAGTTAATTCCTCACTAATGAGGAAGCAAGTTTCAGGATCAGCTTTTTGTGAAATTTTGTCAGAAAAGGCTTTTTTTTTGCTCAAATTCCAGGTGAAAAGAAGGGCTGGAATGGATCTGCCCAGTTTTCTATCACCCTGTGTACAAGCTGTTGCTGGCTGGCTGTACCACCACCCCTGTGGGCATGGGAATGTGCCTTTGGCAGAGGGACAGGGCCTGACTTCCAGAGGAGATCTGCAGATGTCCCATAATACCTGGCAGCAGCTAGCAGTGAGAGAAGGGTTCAAAGAAGAGTTGCTTCTTTTGATCTTGAGGCTCTCTTCCAACCAAAATGATTCTGTGATTCATGATGGAGGGTCTCAGCTGGTTTGTCTGTTTGATAGGGCATCTCCTGAGGGGACACACGTGCTCCACTTCCCTGGTACCTCACAAGCACAGCCAGCCTGGTTTCTGTTCCTCTGAACAGCACTGCTCACATGTATCCTTTTAAAATGGTATAGGGCAATAATGCTGCAGACCTTTAACCCATCTTCCAATAAGAAAGAGATTTTAAACCAGGAAATGATGATATATAGTACAATAGCAATTTATAATCTCAGCAGTGCCTTGCTCAAATGATCTCAAATTGAGGTCACCAGGATTTCTACAGAAACTTTTGAGAAAGCTGGAATAAACATACAGATTATCAAAGAATGTAAAATCATAGAATCACAGAATCATACAATTGTTTAGGTTGGAAAAGATCTTTCAGGTCCAACTGTAAATCTAACACTGCCAAGCCCAGCACTATACCATGTCCCTCAGCATACCTACACATCTTTTAAATCCCTCCAAGGTTGGTGGCTGCACCACTCCCCTGGGCAGCCTCTTCCAATGCTTAACAACCCTTTTGGTGAGGAAATTTTTTTCCAGCCTAAACCTCCCCTAGTGTAACTTGAGGCTGTTTTCTTTTGCAAAATGGGACTGCTGAGCCCAAGTTTGTCTTGCAGTGTCACTGAACTAATATTCAATGGGAGCTACACCCTGTAGCTGCAGGCAAAATAGTTTACAGAGGCTCATGGAGCTCGACTAGAGCAGGATTCAATGCATTATGCAGATAATGTAGATCAGCCCTCTGGAATTGCACATGCACGTAAGTTATGCCTGTAGGAAAACAGTCATTTAAAACCTCCTCCCTCCCCACCTCTTGGAGCTGACTTGCATTAAATATTAACAAACCTGGTTCATCAATTCCCTGGTTCACTTGGCTTCTTTTAACAACAGATGTTATTACAACAAGTCCTCTGCCTGCTCCTGCTGGCACAGCTGATGGTGAAAGCCAAGGATCTGCTGCTGTAACTGTCTGTAGAGCTCTGCTGCTGCCTCTCCTCAGCCTCTCCCCCTGGGATCATCACTGCTGCCAGCCTGTGGTGTTGGTGAGCAGCCTGAGCAACGAATTGCAGAGAGGCACTGGTTAAAGGAGACGGGGAAGAAGAGGGAAGGAGAATTCCAGAGGCTGGAAAAGGAAGCGCTGAGCATGGCCAGCAACTCCAGCACCCTGCCCAGGGTGACTTTCCAGACCCCAGAGAAGCCTGAAGAGGAATCATCTCACAGGAAACTGGGCAAGTTAACCATCAAGTACAACCGCAAGGAGCTGCAGCGCTGGCTGGACCTGGAGGAGTGGATCAACACCCAGCTGCAGGAGCTCTACCAGTGCCGGGTGAGTGCCTGGGGCAACCAGATCCTGGGCTGCATCAAG